ACATATATGTATTTATATATATATATATATATATATATACGCTTCACTGGTTTTGCTCCTCTAGAGAACCAAGCCTAAGACAGCAACCAAAACACTCTGTAAAAGAAATGGCTTTACTAATCACTGGAAATTTCATGCTTAATATGGTGCCTCCAGGCACTTATAGTTAGCATGGTTTAATCACATGGCTATGTTTGAAGTCTGTTGTTGTTGCTGTTAGTTGCCACGGAGTCGATTTTTACTCATGGGGACCCTGTGTGTACAGATTAGAACTGCGTCATAGGGTTTTTCAAGGCTGTAACCTTTTGGAAGAAGATTGCCAGGCCTGTCTTTCAAGACACCTCTGGGTAGGTTTGAAATGCCAACCTTTTGGCTAGCAGTTGAGAGCTTAACTGCTTGCGCCACCTAGGCACCTGTTCGAAGTTTAGTCATGCTAATTACAATTCTTTTAATTCCAGCGGCGCTAATTTCCAATTATGAGACTTAAGCATCTTTTTTTCTCATATTTAAAATGGGAATAGTCATACCTACTACATAAATTGAATGAGATAATGTACATAGTTCACCAAGTGTGGTTCCCAGGACCAACCAAATAAGTAAGTAAATAAAGAGTGTCTCTTATGGCTTCTGTAATTACAAGACGGCAATGCAGGATACTGATGGCTTTGTTGATTTTAGGGGCCATTCAGGTTCCCTCTATGATCTCTCAGCTTCTCTGCAATTGATGTTGAGCTAATATTTTAATAGAAAGGACAGATTTATAACCTATTTAGACATTTCCTTTATTTTTCCTTCAGGAAAAATAGGACAGTACTATCAACATTTATACTTATTAATACTTTTAATAATCAATTATGTACTTTGTTTTATTTTCTTGTCCAAATGATTCAGGTACTTTAATATTTTCTATTCGTTCCTCATGAGGAAGGTCCAAGGAAGTATGAGACGTGTCTGTATTCTACATGGCATGATTTAAATACACAAGGATGACCATGTGGCCTTCCATTAGTCTTTTTAGGGATAAATATTACTAGGAACCCTGGTGGTGCAGTGGTTAAGAGCTCAGCTGCTAACCAAAATGTCTGCAGTTTGATCCACCAGCCACTCCTTGGAAACCCTATGGGGCAGTTCTACTCTGTCTTACAAGGTCATTATGAGTCAGAATTGACTCAACAGCAAAGGGTTACGGTTTAGGGAAGAAATAGTAAATTTCTTTACCAATATTACTATTATATTAAATACTAAATTTCTACGTTTTAAAACACGTAGCTGAAAGCTTGCTGAAATCAGTATCTGCAAACTCAATGATGTTAAAGTTTCATCAGTCACTTACCTTTACAACAAATAATTTATCTAAGATTGTCTACTTATCAGACTTCTGGATACCTTTCCCCTAGGAAAGTCAGTTCTTTAGCCCAGGCAAATAGAAGGTATTTTCAACGTAAGCCTCTTGGGTACTGCAAATAGTGAGTCCTCTTCTGGGAAAAGCCTCATAAACAATTAGACATTGAGTCACAGTCATGGTTCTTGTAAACACAGACTATGCAACATTTAGAGAATGTTTTTCCAAAGGTTAAAAACCCAGGGTGAGGCTTATGTCACATAGCAGAGCTTTTATGTTGTAACAATGGACTTAATCTTCCAAGCAATTTCAAATGGTCAAAATTATTCAAGAAATTTCCCTATTTTGTGCAATAGATGTAGTTCAGAACAGATACACTTAAATTTAAAATTATCAAATTAAATTACTTTTAATTCTTTGATTTTGCCATTAAAAATTACATATGAAATATTTTTAAAAGTAAAAAAGTATACTTAAAATAACCTATTTCATAAATCTTTTTATTATACAGATTTTCTTTTTAAAAGATATGCCTAAACTACTGCTGTTAATAATTACTAAAATCTCTCAATAGACGAGAAAACAAAACAAGTCAGACCCAGTTCCTCCTGTTAAAAACTTAGGTAGCAGTGACAGCTAACACTGAAGAGAACTCTACAGTGTACAGTTCCAGGTATGTTAATGTTGTTTGACACTCTAGTTACTCCATAAGGGAAGTAGGAGGAGACCTTTTATTATCCCTGTTTTATGGATAAAGAAACAGAGATGTCAGATATCTAGGTTACATGCCCCACATCACTCAGCTAGGATGTAGTAGAGGATGGTGTTAAAAATAACTCTTCCTTTTTCAAGTCCTGTATAATTTCCACTCCACTATACAGATTACAAAAGGTCAGAAGTTTGCACCCACCAGCTGCTCCACAGGAGAAAATGTGGCAGTCGGCTTCCGTAAAGATTACAGCCTTGGAAACCCTATGGGGCAGTTCTACTCTCTACTATGAGGTCTGTATGAGTTGGAATCAACTCGATCACAATGGGTTTGGTTTGGTTTGGGTATACTGATTACATTGTAAATGATGGTGATATCAGAGCCCTTTGGAAACAGCCTCATTTCACCTTTTCACCAGTTATACAAAGGAGGCAGGTATTTATGGATAAAACAACTTACTGCTGTTTCAGAACACAGATCTTGTATATTACAACTTTCTTATTTTGTTGAAACCCTTTAAAGAAATTTATTATAGAAATTGTATATATGGATACTGTTCTTCAAAGAAAACTACAACAAATAACCACCCAGGCATCACCAACTCAAGACATTTATCAAACAGGAGACATGCATTAGAGGTGTGTAGGTCCAATGACAGAAACTGGATTAATTACTTATCATCCGGATTACTTGTCAGTTGGTGCATTTGCTATTGGTGTTTGGCAGTACCACAACTTTTTGTTCAAACATCAAAGGGTAGTGACATTACCTTTGGGGGTCTCTACATGGAATCCAGTTCACTTTCGGGTCTGGGATATCCTCCAGGTAGGGGTAAATGGTCTCCCTTGTGAAAACCCAACCATAAATTCCATCTTCTGGAGTCACAATGATATGTGCGCCCTGCTCAAAACAAATCAGAGCAAAAGAGTTTCGCATAAATTCCAAATACACTCCAGGTTCCAATCTTACAATATCCCGGCCAGTATACTTACCTGCTTAGCTGCCAGCTTTACTGCTTTTTCCAAAACATCTATGTTCTTGTTCATTAGGCGCACAGCATCTCCTTTTGATACAGGTGTCTCTGTGCTGTTTGGTAATATAACAGCATGCTCATACACTGCAGCAATAAAAGTGTCCAGACTTTGTGTGGAACCAACGCTCAGGACAAAGAGGGCAAAAAGTGCCACATATTTTGGAAAATGTGATCTGATCATAGCTAAAATTTAGTGATCTTTGAAAAAACAAACTCAGACTCTTATATTTCGCATCACTGGAAAAACTTTTATATTAAAGCACTGCCATCTACTCGCTATTTATATTTTATCACGAATACATTACACAATACAGCATTCAGAAAGGATGTTGTGCAAGAAAACTGACAGCTGGAAGTACATGACTGAGTTGACTTAAGTGGACAATGCTGCTGTTGACATTGTTCAGAAGTCTGCACAACTCTCAAAGTAGAATTAATGAGCCAACCACATGACCCCTCCCCAGTCCAAAACACACTGACAGTTGAAGAAATTCTTTTTTTTTTATTTTACAGGGTTGTTTTTAAATATTTTTATTGTACTTTAGATGAAGGTTTACAGAACAAACTAGCTTCTCATTAAACAATTGGTACACATATGGTTTTGTGACATTGGTTACTAACCCCATGACATGTCAACCCTCTCCCTTCTCAGCCGTGGATTCCCTAGATTCCCTATTAGCAGTTTTACTGTCCCCTCCTGCCTTCTAGTCCTTGCCTCTGGACTGGTGTGCCCCTTTAGTCTCATTTTGTTATACGGGCCTGTCTAATCTTTGGCTGAAGGGTGAACCTCAGAAGTGACTTCATTACCGAGCTAAAAGTGTGTCTGGGGGCCATACTCTCAGGGTTTCTCCAGTCTCTATAAGGCCAGTAAGTCTGGTCTTTTTTGGTGAGTTAGAATTTTGTTCTACATTTTTCTCCAGCTCTATCCAGGGCCGTCTATTGTGATCCCAGTCAGAGCAGTCAGTGGTAGCAGTCGGGCACCATCTAGTTGTTCAGGACTCAGTCTGGTGGAGGCTGTAGTAGTTGTGGTCCATTAGTCCTTTGGACTAATCTTCCCCTTGGGTCTTTGGTTTTCTTCATTCTCCCTTGCTCCAGACAGGGTGAGGCCAGTGGAGCATTTTAGATGGCTGCTCACAAGCTTTTGAGACCCCAGACACTGCTCACTGAAGTAGAATGTAGAATATTTTTTTTATAAACTATGTTATGTCAATTGAGCTAGATGTTCCCCGAGACCATAGTCCCCACAGCCCTCAGCCCAAAAATTCAGTCCTTAGGGAGTTTGGATACGTCTATGGAGCTTCCGTGACCTTGCCCTGGACAAATTGTGCTGGTTTTCCCAGTATTGTGTACTGTCTACCTTTCACCAAAGTTACTACTTATCTATTGTCTATTTAGTGTTTTTCCATCCTCATCCCTCCCCTCCCTAGTAACCATGAAAGATTGTTTCCTTTTGTGTGTAAACCTTTTCAGGAGTTTCTTTAGCAGTGGTCTCATACAATATTTGTCCTTTTGTGGACTGATTTATTTCACTCAGCATAATGCTTTCCAGATTCATACATATTGTGAGGTGCTTTGCAGATTCATCATTGTTCTTTATCTGAACGCTTTTCGTTTAATAAAATATATTTTTCCTGGTAAATCAATATTTCCAATAATAAGACCAATATGGGACTGGTCTAGAACAGCCATGAACAACATTCATGAACAACTGTTATTCATGAATAATAATTTATTGAGAACTTTTATGTATGTAGCTGTGACGGACAGAGAACACAGACTGTAAGGAAAGTCCCAATTATAACAGAGCTCACAAAATAGCAAAAGAACAGATATACACATGTTATACAGATATGTAAGTGTATATATACAGATATATACATGTCAAAGATCAGATTCTCTTGTTCATGACCAGTGGCCCTCAGTTTTCATGTTATTAGAGAATATCAGCTGACACCATGTTTGCCAGTTCTCCTGGAAAGACTACCTAATAGTCTGAAATACTGGAACTCTAGCTGAATGCTTAAAAGTAGATTAATAATAACATGGTCAGTGACAGTGAATGCCCATTGAACTGAGTCTTGGCTCTCTCTGGGAACTGCCTAACGCTGTGAAGTTCATGTGCAGAAAATCAAGGGGTCAAGGCTTCAAGGTCATACAATTTCTTCATTGTTACAGAATCTGTACTTTTTTTTTTTCAGTGAAAACTTCTTCCCTAACCATTATATTACATTACCTAAAAGCTCATTTTTAGGAGATTGCTTCCTTGTACCATTAAAAGAGCCGAATATTTTTAAGGTATTACGTATACATAGGTAATACCTTAATTTTGTCATTCATCCAATCTGAGTCTTGGATATCTTACTCTCCCTCTGCTCCCACCCTCAATTCATCAGAAAGTTTTTTTTTAAAGATATCTTTTTCTTTTCTAATTTATTATGCTAAACTGGATATCAGCTTTCTAACATATTTCCCTACCTCCCACAATGGCCAAAGTTGCTCATTCCACACGTAGCCACTAGATGAGTTCTCCCCAAACTACAACCCTATTATGTCACTTAGACTTCAAAACAGTCAGTGGTTCCCTATTATTTAAAACAGAAATTCCGCCATATTTGGTACATGCCCCACAGATGGTAAGCAAGTTGTATACTTTGCAAAAATACACTTAAACACTTTTTATATTAACCTTTACAGATTAGCAGTCATGTTTATTAGAAACATTTTTAACTGTTTCATCAAATTTTGGTAGTAGCATTTAGGATGAGACAATATAAAAGATGTCAATCAATCTTAAAAGAATACTAGATAAGTTATAAAAGGTGTGTGGTTAATGCAAAAATCATGAAGATAATGACATGATCGACTGAAATGCTAACCTTGTTCAAGTTCTTCTACAATGTGAACTAAACATACTACTCTGGATTCATTTCTATAACTTACTTATATGAACTCATTATTCCAGTGATACCATCTCATTTCTTGTCCACTGAACCCTCCATGCTCCACTCTATCTACATAATTATATGTTGTATTTCTCCCTGAAATGTCCTTGCTCTTCTTCTACCAGCCTCATAGAGTCCCCTCAAACCCACCCCAATCCTAGTAATATTCCTGAACTCTCATAGAGTATTTTTGCTGTGCTGTTGAATGTACTTCACTGCTTACTATTGTCTTGATCTTTAATTTACATCTTATACTGGTATTTAATTCTGTATGTCTGTTATCCTCCTAAATAGATTAAAAGGAACCTTGATGGTTCTTTCCAGATCATCCATGTTCAGTCATATTCTAGGGTGCATTCCAGGGGTGTGAACTATGGAAGGCATGGGTAGTGTCGGGCTCACTGCTGAATCCCATCATCTCAGCACAGTGTCTGACATGTGACTGGAACTCAACACTAAATAAATGAATGCTGAATGACAGAGTTCACTACTTGGCATGCCAGTCTATTCCATAATTGAACGTTGCTAATTTTTTAGAACCTTCTTTCCTATACTAAAATGAAATTTACTTTCTGTAGTTTGAAACAGTAACTCCAATCCCTCTTCCATATGACAGGTTTTCAGGACATACAAAGAGTGTTCTAAATTCCCTCTTTATTCTATATGAATCATCCTAAAGGACAGGGGCCACATGACAATTCTCAACTTCTCCGGTGGAATTTTATAGAACACTAGGCTCTATAAATGTTTTCTGATTTGTTAAATTCAATTTCTAGGCCTAGATTTGGCTTGAACCCCCCTGTTGAATGTGAGTTAATTTAAAATGTAAAGACTTGCGGGGGAGGGCCAAGATGGTGGAATAATCAGACACTTCCTGTGGTCCCTCTTACAACAAAGACCTGAAAAAACAAGTGAATCAATTATATATGACAATCTAGGAGCCCTGATTATCAAAGACAAAGTTGAGGAGTTGGACTGAGCAAAAGGGGGAAGGAGAGAGAGTTCAGAAGCAGCAAAGAAGTGCCAGTTGTGAGGTAGCTGGCACACTGCTGTCTGGGTAGGCTGGCATACAGGGGCTGAGGTGAGCAGTAGCGCTCGGGACTCATTTCACCGTGATGGGAGAGGCTGGGAGATAGAAAGTTTGCACAAGCCTCTGGAGCCAGGAAGAAGTATCGCTGGATCTGCAAAAGTTAAGCGCAGTGTCTAACCCACCATATGGGATCAAAATAACCCCTCCCCCTCTGGGACTTTCACAGTATAGAAGTAACTCTTTTTCCTCACCCATCCCCCACTCCGCTCCACTAAGACACCAGTCCAGTAGTAGTCAACAACTGCCATGCCCTCAGCTGGAACTCAGGACTATCCTCACCCAAACCAGTCTTGCAGCTTTGAAAAATCGTCACACCCCCTAAGCCAGGATCTCAGGGCAGGCTCTATCCCTTTGCCTAGGCACTAGCATAAGGGGTCCACAGACTTGTAGCACCCTTCACCCCTGGCTAGACCTGTGTGGATCAATTCAAAACCATAGGCCCTCATTAATGCCAAGCCCCCTAAGCTGGGAACTCAGGACTATCTGTGCCCAAACCAGAGAATCAAATGAGAATGAAAACACATCTTACAAAAACTTTTGGGACACAGCAAAAGCAATGCTCAGAGGTCAGTTTATAGCAATAAATGCATACATCCAAAAAGAAGAAAGGTTCAAAATCAAAATATTAACCCTACAACTCGAACAAACAGAAAGAGAGCAGCAAAAGAAGCCCTATGTCCCCAGAAGAAAGGAAATAATGAAGATTAGAGCAGAAATAAATGAAATAGAGAATAGAAAAACAATTGAAAGAGTCAACAAGACCAAAAGTTGGTTCTTTGAAAATATCAACAAAATCTATAAACCTTTGGCCAAACTGACAAAAGAAAAACAGGAGAGGAAGCAAATAACCCAAGTAAGAAATGAGATGGGCGATATCACAACAGACCCAACTGAAATAAAAAGGATCATAACAGAACACTATGAAAAACTGTACTCCAACAAATTTGAAAACCTAGAAGAAATGGACAAATTTCTAGAAATGCACTACCTACCTAAACTAACAAAAACATAGGTAGAAAAAGTAAATAAACCCATAACAAAAGAAGATATTGAAGAGGTAATTTAAAAAACTCCCAACAAAAAAAACCCTGGCCCTGATGGCTTCACTGGAGAATTCTACCAAACTTTCAGAGAACAGTTAACACCAGGACTCCTAAAGGTATTCAGAGCATAGAAAAGGAAGTAATACTCCTTAACTTATTCTACGAAGCCAGCATAACCTTGATACCAAAGCCAGGTAAAGACATCACAAAATAAGAAAATTACAGAGCAATATCCCTTATGAGCATAGACACAAAAACCCTCAACAAAATTCTAGCCAATAGAATTCAGAAACATATCAAAAAAATAATTCATCATGACAAAGAGGGATTCATATCAGATATTCAAGGATATTTCAACATTAGAAAATCAATCAATGTAATCTATCACATAAATAAAACAAAATATAAGAACTATACGATTTTATCAATAGATGCAGAAAAGGCATTTGACAAAGTCCAACAGCCATTCATGATTAAAAACTCTCAGCACAATAGGAATAGAAGGGAAATTCCTTGACATAATAAAGGAGATTTATACAAAGCCAACAGCCAATATTATTCTAAACAGAGAGAGTCTGAAAGCATTCCCCTTGAGAATGGGAACCAGACAAGGATGCCCTTTATCACCACTCTTATTCAACTTTGTGCTGGAGGTCCTAGCCAGAGCAATAAGGCAAGAAAAAGA